TCCATGAAGACTGATATTACTAACAAATTCACATCATGTGAATCGCATGATAAAACTTAAGGAGTGAAACGCCTTGTGGTCCACTAGCTAGTAATATCTAGTAAGGATTTAGTTCCTACGTTAATTAACATGAACAACGTACGGGTTCATTGTCAATGTCGACGATAAAGAAAAAGGACAACTAGTTAGTTACTTAGTTAATATGGTGGAAAATTCTCCCATGTCTAAATCGTGAATAAACTCTTTCTTGTAATGGTTGTTACTAAATTTCCTATATATATATGTATAGAGCTTAGTCGTTTTGGTAAAGCATTGTGGAACCAGAAGTGATTAGTTAAGTTGAGAGGAAACTTTTAGCATGGAGAGTGAAGTTCATCGTCCGCTAGCTGATTATCAAGCGAACATATGGGAAGATCTCTTAACTTCTTTCTCAAAATCTGACCTCGTAAGTTATGTTTGTATATATATATATCCTTTTTCATATCATTCATTTCCTCATCCATTATTAAATATTTTGAATCCATGTTAGTAGCCTATATGATTTGATTCACTCACGTCTACTCAAATMACTCCATTGCCATATATATAGGAATGTGAGTCGTTCAAAGAGAAGCATAGTACGCTAATGGAGATTGTGAAGYAATCGTTTATGGCTTCGAGAGCGAATCCGATAGAGAACATCAAGTTCATCGATGTTCTATGTCGCCTTGGTGTCTCCTATCACTTTGAGAGAGATATCGTAGAGCAATTGGAGAATTCATTTGGTAGTCTTGATTTTAATCAGACGATAAGACAAGACGAATGCGATTTYTACACGGTTGGAATAATTTTCCAAGTTTTCAGACAATTCGGTTTTAAACTTTCTGCTGGTAAGTAATTAGTTTATTTCAAATCACAATATCYAARTCATAAACAAACTTTGCATGGTTTTCATATAACCTAAGTTTTTATTTATTTATACATCTCAAGATGTGTTTGAGAAATTCAAGGACGGAAATGGGAAGTTCAAAGGATACTTAGAGGTAGACACAAGCGGTATGTTAAGCTTGTATGAAGCTGCACAATGGAGCACTCATGGAGAAGACATTCTAGACGAAGCTCTCGCCTTTTCGAGCTCTCATTTAAAAGCAGTGGTTTCTCATTCTAGCCCCCACCTAGCAATTCGCATCAAGAATGCCCTAAAAAATTCTTACCATAAAGGCATCTCAAGGATAGAAACAAGACAGTATATTACATACTACGAGAAAGAAGAGTCCTGTGACGCAACATTACTCGAGTTTGCAAAAATAGATTTTAATTTGCTGCAATTGTTGTACCGCGAGGAGCTTGCTTGCGTTACAAGGTAACTACCGTACCCACTCAACATATATATAGTTGTTTTGCATGAAGTTGAAATTCTTTCATCACATTTCAGGTGGTACAATGAAATGGAGATTAAATCTAAAGTAACATACACAAGGCACAGGATAACAGAGGCGTACTTGTGGTCACTTGGAGCATATTTCGAGCCTCAATATTCTCAAGCACGAGTTATATTAGCTAGTGCACTAACCTTATTCACAGCACTTGATGATATGTATGATGCGTATGGCACAATGGAGGAACTTGAGCTTTTCACAAATGCAATGGAAAAGTAATTCATTTGCAGAAAAATATAAACTATGTATTATAGATTTTGAATTTTGTTTTAATGGCAATGACTTATACAATGGATGGCTCAAACACAGGTGGCTTCCTGCTGCCCCAAGCGGGTTACCTGAGAGCATGAAGCATATTTACCGTATCACGGTAGATTTCTATGATAAACTCGAAGAGGAACTTGAGAAGGAAGGAAGATCAGGTTGTGGCTTCCAACTTAAGAAATCAGTTAAGACCACAATAATGATCAACCTTAAATATAATGTTTATTTTTTCAAATATGTATTCAAACCTAATCAATTCTACATAATCTAGTTGAAAGAAACAGCGAACGGATATATGCTAGAGGCAAAATGGTTGAAAAAAGATTACATTGCTACATTTGACGAGTATAAAGAGAATGCGATCTTGTCTTCTGCTTACTATCCCTTAATAGCCATGACATTTGTGGGAATGGGAGATTTCGCAAAACTTGATTCTTTTGAGTGGTTAAGCTCACACCCTAAAATTAGGGTAGCTTCTGAGATAATCTGTCGATTCACGGATGACATTTCTAGCTACGAGGTGAGCACGTGAATATCTGAATTTCAAGTTTATAGTTGTATCTCAATTCTCAAATTGAATATATTTGATATATACTATATTGTGGTTGTAGTTTGAACACAAAAGGGAGCATGTAGCAACGGGTATTGACTGCTATATGGAGCAATTTGGTGTTTCCAAGGAAAAAGCCATTGAAGAAATAGAAAGCATTGTTTTAGATGCATGGAAGGACATGAACCAAGAGCTAATGAGGCCTCACTCATGTCCTTTCCCGCTTTTGATGCGAATTCTTAACCTTTCGCGTGTCATCGACGTTTTTTATAGGTACCACGATGCTTACACCCACCCTGAGTTCCTGAAAGAGCACATCGTCTCTTTGTTCATTGAGAACATACCCATTTGAAAACATTGTGGTAGGATTGTTCCAATCCATGGAATGATTCATTACACAGTTATGGTCAGATAAATTTCTCATGTATTACCGTACTTGAACCACTCCCAACATA